GGCACGAAGCTGATTAAGAGAATTTTAAAGAGATCTACCAGAGGAATTTTCGAAATTCAGCCTCGTTTTCGAGTATCGTCCGTCAACGTCGCGTCCCTTCAAAAAAAGTGGATTTTTCAGGCGGATCACCGAACACTGAGGGGAAACGGTAGGAGGAAACCCATGCGCAACTTCGCAAAAAGGTGGACCATATTAGCCTCCAAAAACTGGAGCATGCTTTTGCCGATAGAAAATTTCTACGAGAAATGAGAACGAAAAAACAGAATCCGAAAACAGAAAAATTCTCAGTTATGGCGTCATGGCGACTCGGGTACGACAGTTGCATACGAGTATTTATTTTTTTCCATATAGCGCTGTATGTCTCGAGGAGAATGGTGCAAATTTCACGTTTCTGCGACCAAGGGTTGGGGAGATGTAGATTTTCAAAGAGAAGCATGCAAATTTTGACCTTTGACCACAGATCATGGCCCCAGGGGTGACCTGAGCGAGCCAGCAATAGGTTCCAAGGGCCTTTCTTGAGGTCCCTTACAACAATTATAGAGCGGAATTTTGATCCAGGGGGGTCGATTTTTATGTTCCCGTAGTACCTTAACGCCAGGTCCATCGAGCTATATCAGTCTGAGCCATAGACTTCAAACTTGGCTGTGTCAAAGGGTGACTGCATGTCACGTTTTATTTTTTTTCTGTTAGGTCGGGGGTGGCGGTTCGGATATCGCTTCCATGCAATAGTTTTCTGTTTACGTTTCATGTCAGGGCCGATTTATTTCCGTTCTCACGATTGATGAAATCAAAATAACGTAAGTTCTTTGTTTCATACGTCGTGTAAACGGGCCGCTCTTCCCATCAAAATGATGGCGATTTTTGCGATCTGAGGTTGAACATGAAAAAAAAAGTTGGAAGTCCCACAGGACGGCGATGATAAACGATAGGTGCTGGCGCGGAAACTACGTTTGCCACGGCAGTTGCGGTGCGAAGTGCCAAAATCGGTGCCTTAGGAGATGCTAGCCATAATGCCTAGAATGACTGATGAACAATACCCAGTTGCACGTAGGGAGCGTAAGGCTGAGCAGCAAGGGGCAGCGAATGCTGAGCTCAGAAATAGGAGAGTCATGCAGCCTGCTGGGCAACTTGATGCAAGGAACGTAGCACTCATATATCGAAAGCCGGGGGGCGGCCGGGAATTGAACCCGGACCTTTTGCTTGCCGGTCAGGTGTGCTACCATTACTCCATGGAACTCGGGATTTTATGCCTCTCCATGTCATTTCAAATCACTACAGTCGTTTGCGCAGGGAGCACTCTCAGGCTGTACATTTTGCTGTAGGGAGGGGACATTTGTTTCACATTGCTGCCACAACGGAAAAGTGTTTCTGCTGCAACTCACACTTAACGCTCACACTGTTGTTCACTGGTGCTAATATGTAGGGGAGGCATTTTCAGGAATTATTCGTTAGTACTCTGCTGTACATGCGCTATATTCTCTTTGTGTTAAAGTCGAACAAGTTCTTTGGAAATGGCCAGTACTGTTTCAGAATCAGTGATACCTGTACCAAAAGCGAATGCTAATAATCCATGGGCTAATCGGTGATGCAAGAGTATTGCTACGGAGGGGAAATGGCAGACGGACGACGGAAGACATGAGAGGTCGAAAGCCAAGGAACGGCTGGGAATTGAACACGGGCTTACTGATTGCCGGTCAGGTGTGCTTCCTTTACACCACCGAACCTTGGACATTCAGTCGAGTCTCACGATGCCATCCTCATCCGTCACAATATTGAATGTGCTGGGAAGAAGTGGTGGCGGTGGCTGTCACCGTAACGCGCGAGGTCTACAAGACTAGATCATTTTATGGCATAGGCCATGCCATCCTTGGCCATGGGATAGACCAGCCATCGCCCAAAGCGCCAGGTCCATCGGGCTATATCAGTCTAAGCCATAGGCTTTGGTTCATCCTGTTATTTCCTTAGGCTTCATACTTAGCTGCCTCAAGCAAAGGGTGTTACTGATTGCGTGTCACGTTTTCACTGATCGACTGCAGGTTCATTTCAATATCTTCCTTGCTGAGGTGTTTTTTTCTGTATTTATTTTTTTCCGTCAGGTCAGACGTGGTGGTTCGCGCCATCGCTTCCATGCAATAGTTTTCTGTTTGCGTTTCATGTTATGCCGATTTATTTGAGTTCTCATGATTGATGAAGTCAAAATAATAGTCTAAACAGTCTCTGCTTCATATGTCGCGCAAACAAGGTGTACCTCCCATCAAAATGGTGGCAATTTTTGCGAGGTGAGGTTGAACGCTAAGAAATGTTGAAGGACGTCCCACAGGACAGCGATGAGGCAGTTGTTGCTGGTAAACGGTTGCCACTGCAGTTGCGGTGCGAAGTGCCTTAATAGATGCTAACCGTAATGGTTAGAATCTGAAACAGGAAGCAGATGTGCATAGAACCGCTTAGACCGCTGAACAGCAAGCAGATGTGCATAGAACCGCTTAGACCGCTGAACAGCAAGCAGATGTGCATAGAACCGCTTAGACCGCTGAACAGCAAGAAGCAGCGAATGCTGAGCTCCGGAATAAGAGAACCGTGCAGCCTGCTGAGCAATTTGATGCAAGGAACGCAGCACTCAGGTGTCGAAAGCCGGGGGGCGGCCGGGAATTGAACCCGGTCCTCCTGCTTGCCGGTCAGGTGTGCTACCATTACACCAGACGGAACTCGGGATGTTTGGCCTCTCCATGTCATCCCAATCATTACAATTTTTGGTCGCAGCGACCACTGTCAGGCTGTACATTTTGATGCAGGGAGGAGACATTCGTTTCGCAATGGAAAAATGCTCCTGCTGCAACTTACACTTTAGCACCAGTAAGCAACACATTACCCTGAGACTTTGAATGTGGTGGCGAGGCATTTTCTGGAATTAGTCGCTAGCATTGTGCCGCCCATGCACTAAATTCCCTCTGCCTTCAAACAAGTTCTTGAAAATGATAAATACTGTTTCAGAATAATGTACCATATGCTAATGGCCCATGAGCTAATCGATGATGTAAAAGCATTGAATGTGCTTGGAAGACGAAATCAGCAAAGTCGTCTTGAGTCTTATGAAAATGTGCTAAACCGTTAACAATGAACGCGTGTGGCAATCAGCCGGAATATCCTGATGATGGTGTTTAGGAACAGAATCTCCTGGAAAATGTAATGAAGCTGTTCAGTTCCGAATGGGTAATGCGATGAACAGAGGATTGTCAAGGAGTGTTATGCTCACAACTATTCAAATTTCCTCTTATTAAACGGCCAGCGTAGCGGCCGCAGGCCGCTAGTCCTTCATTTAAATTGCCAGACCTTCCAAGTGATGCGCGTCAGGAATTTCTCCATTGTCTCGAACATGTATGGCCTAGCATGAATTGCCCTCATTTCCAGTCATGGAAATAACTGGAAAT